TTAAATAATCAAATAAAATGTTTAGATAAATTGTTCCACAAGATGCGAACGTTGAAAAAATATTCTGGCAATTAAACCAAGTAGTGATTTGCAAATATTGAAATAAATATCTCCAATCTTACAAAATGTTAAGTAAAATTTACAACGGGTTGATGACCTCAATCTTAAGTGAGGTCACTATTTTTTGTCAATTTAAAACTTAAATTATTATTGCCACATGTCCATATAGTCATATGTTTTCTTTGATATGTTTTAAAGTGTAGCTAATAGGTTGATAAATTCCCTTAAAATAAGGTTTGTTCTTAGTTATCTCTCTTCGGATATAAGCACGTTCTTGTTTTATTTGAGCTTCCGGATGTGTAGCGGATCGCTACTCTAGTAAAGCCTGACTCGTTGAGAATTGTAACGGATTGCTACCTTAGTAAAGCCTGACCGGATTGCATTGTAGCGGATTGCTACGCTAGTAAAGCCTGACCGAAGAAATCTCTATGGCAGTTTCTCCAGCATCTAGCTAGACTCCCAGAACAATCTAAGCTATAGCCTTGCTATAAGGGAAACAGACGTGTAGCCCGGAATACGTTTATTCGGTACGTATATTAATAGCGAAGTGTTGTGTTGGCAAAGCGATTAGTTATCAGATAACTCTCACAATTCGTGTGAACATTAATAGCTAAAACATTTCTGAGTAGGGTTATATAGCAGGATTTCTATTTGGTCATTTATGATGTGTCCCACAGATGTGAAACTCATTATAATTATTCCGAATAAAGTCAGTTTAACGAATGGATGAGAACCAAAGCTGGAAAAAGGGTATTGAAATAAATAAGAAACTATTTGAGGGCCTTGAAGAGCTCTATGGAGTGCTCTACACTACCATGGCTGAACAAAGAAATGTCATCTGAACACAGACAGACTCGAATGAGGGGTCGTACTACTTGTCGTGTGGGGAGCGAATTTAGTCTCAGCTGAGCAGACTTTTCAGCCAACCACTATTTAATAGTCGCGGGATTGTTCAACAACTAAACTAAATTTTATTTTAATGACTAAGCTCTGTGTCCTTTGCATTCAGGAAAAGTATACGCTATTTAGATCATACGTCTGTTTCCTCTATATCATTGAGGCTAACTTCGGGAGCCATTCCACACTGGGGTATTCTGTCATAGAGATTACTATAGATAAGTCAATGTTTAGTAATTTAGCAAACCAATACAGTTACTCTTTCTCTCGCTATTTTATTAATAGTATTATTTTACTTATTTTAAACACTCACGCGGGGTTTCTACAATTTCTACTCATTCTCGAATATAATCGGATTTGTTTAGAACTAAACGGTTTTAAAGTGTTTCATAACTGACTAGACAAATGAGTTTGTAGATGAGTTTTCGAATCCATAAGGTAGAAAATCTCCAAATAAAATTTTAACTTCATAAGATATTCATTTAATGTTTACGCACAGTCCAAAGGTAGATAATAGAAAATGTGATTTCCTGTAACTTCTTAAAGTTAAAAAATTATTAGTTATATTTTTAATGCCACCTAGTATATACCTGCGAAAGAAAAGGTGCATGTTTATAAAATTCATACTATTGGAAACGCATCAATCCTCCAATAACCCAAACAAGAAAGGTTTTTACACCTAATAGGTATAGACCACACCCCACAGATAATGTTCCAAAGGCAACGTTTATCCCTTCACCTAAATGATAAATTTATTAACAATTTCTAATCTTTCCTTATTTTATGGTGGATTAATTGTAAAAATACCTCAACCTCGATTACCATTAATGGCTATGCAGCGGATTGCTACGCTAATAAGCCTTGGCTTACGATCGGTAATCTATATGGAAAAATCCCTATTTTGGTATGGTTACCAAGATTAGCTAAGCTACTGCAAGGCTATAGAGAAAACAGACGTATGCGTATGTTGGGTATGTGTAAGTGAAGACATGGAGCAAATTCCTTCAAGACTGTAATGGCTATTGGTTGCTTATAGGTTGAGAGGTAATTGCACTGGTGACCTCATTTGCCCCCTGGCGTGATTGTCATCCTGTCCTCAGCGTTCCAGAATTTTTTGAGCCGGAAAGTGCTTCTTTGCTTCAGTCATGCCAGCGCGTTGTGTTCCCTACAGTTATCATTCCAGTATTCTGAATCGATTTTCTTTGTCAAGCTTTTTATTCCATTGAAATACGCTTAATCCCTAATTTAAGCTACCTTGAAAACTTCTATTCATCATTTGCCTACGATATCTGAAAGACAAGAATACTCCTCCTCAGACGTATATCTCCACTTCTGTCTGACATCATAGGCAGGTTCTACTTTTCCACTGTATCATTTAAAGTGACTTTATTTCAAAATATAAAAATATGTACTTTTAATTCTCGTCAATTCAAAATCTTCCTTTTGAATCGCTGACCGATTTTTGTCATCGGTACTTCTTCCTCTCACCAGAAACGACTAATCCCTAAGATGTATGTTTTCATATCAGTCAATTTAGGTTAATTTGGGTTGCTTAGTATTTCGAGCCAGTGTCTGGTGGTAAATTTGAATGAACTCCATTTCTGATTTCTGGAAAATTTGTTTGGATGTAACCGTTTTGGATAAAAGACCTAAACAGAGTAAAAAATAGTGCAATTTCCGTGTGTATTTTAGCTAACTACATCTAAACCAGCTCTTTCTGACCCTAATGCTATTAGGATTCTTAGTACCCCAGGAGAAGAGCTATATCATCACGCATTCATAAACCCCCCTAATTGGCAAAAAATGACTTCTAACTTTGATCGTAGTCTATCCAAGTAGAGAATGTAAAAGATTGGTATTGTGCATTGGTTAAACAGATAGTCAGAGGTCGAGGATTCCGGTAATGCTAACGCACACTCAAAGTGTGCAGGGTCCGAACCATTGACCAGGTCTTGCGGCTTGACTTACATCCTAAAAATATAGAATTGTCACATAACTGAAAGTTTGAATCAGTCACTCAGTGAAATTTCCTCCGAATCATTCAATCCTCCCACTTACAAGATATTGAATTAATATCCAAATGCTTATTTCAAATTAATTCATCGACTCTTTCACTACTTTCAAAAATTTAACATAAAGGAAGAGCAATAAAAGGGAGAATATGGTCTCTTGATAAGGAAAAATTACTATTCGGATTGGCTAAAAAATGATTCTATTTTCCTCCTAACTTCCCCAAATAAAATCAAGATGGATGCAGTGGAACTCTCTTTCCTCAGTCATGCGTAGATGGGAGCCATTAAACCAAGACCAAAGTTCACACGGAGACTTCAATCGATGCACTGAGATGTGTACTCCCATAAGAAAACAGTATAAAAGGAGTGTTCGAGACGGTGATGATGATGGGAAGGAGGGGGGGATAAACGACAGGTGGTCAAGAAATTACCGGAGGAGGTATTTATGACGGCCTTTACACACAGTGAGGTGATTCATCTGAACTGACTCCCCAACCCCACATGCAAGTCTTTACTCGGATTTATTGAAATTTCACTATTTTGGAGATATTTTATTGAAACAGGTTTTTTTCAAGATCAAAGTCAAAGTAAACCGATATTCAGTCCAGTATTTGCATATTTATTTGTGCTATTGTGATAGCACAAATAAATACTCTGTTAATTTTCTCTAGGCTTTCAAATACGTTTCGATTTGTTTATATTTTTTTAACAAACCCAAACCTAATGCAAGAGTCCTTTTGAACTAAATAAGTGTGATGTAACCTTCCTTTTAGTAACACTATTCTTCAACCCATGACATTCCCCATCAAAGTCCCATTCCACAGTCATAGCTTCATTCTTATACGGCAGTGAAAAAATAATACTCTATACTCGGTCTCCAACACAATTCAAAGTGCCACAAAGAAGGTCTTTAATGTTCGTGTAATTAAACATTTTTTCCAACTCCCATGAAGGAAAAACATCCCGAAAGTTTTCAACCATAGAGGATACATTCGATCCTCTCTCCCTCTCTCTCTTAAGCAGGTGACCTTCAACATGATAGGCATGAATACCGGTCTCTTCAAAGTATCCTTTGAAAGAACAATAGTATATATTCCTTTGAATTGTATAGTAAAGTTCGATGCCGTGGAATAAGCTCTCTAACTTGCCTCTAATCGTGTCCCTAAAGATATGCCTCCATTCGATCAATAAGAATAACACTATCTTAATAAATAAATAAATAAACGGTCTACAATTGAAAGCAATAATTTAAAATTGCCCTTATATTACTGAAATCAGTAAGCCTTTTACGTCGTCCATTATATTAGACTCAATGGCCGATCTCAATTACTCAGCTATTGTTAACCGAAACTAACCGAAGCCAAACTGGAAAAGTACAAATGAACGCCAACTTTACTTGAATAACTCCAAGTTAAGGCAATTTTCACCAAATCGTAAGCCATAAAGGCCTTCAAAAAGAATAGAAAAGGTCTTAGTTTTCTTTCACCAATTTTTCAGACTCCATATATTCAAGCACCTCAGAATTATATTTAATAAATCCATGTTCAAAGCACAAGATGAACACTTTCTGCCTACCTGAACGAGTCTCCCAAACTTGATCCATCTCATATTAGGCTACTAAGTAGGGAATTTCTTGTAGTTCAATTTCAAGTATTGGCTAATCAAGAAGCCAATCATGTCCTAACTAACCCAAATCTATTTCCATAAAAGAAGTGCTGCTTGTTTTCTCCCTTCAGGCCTGGAAAGGGCACTTAGAAATTTGGCAGAAGCAGTTTAAACCATAGTATTGGTGACAAAACCCACACAAATTGGCAATATGGATAGTTTGTTAGGTCGATTTACTGTTTAATTCCGTCCGTTATATGAACAAAGCAAACTGGTAAAAATTATCCGTCATTTAACTAGAGAACTGCAATTGTAAATAGCAAAAGTATATTTCACAAGATTATACAGAAAGGAATAGATCAAATATACCTAAATTATGATCAGAAAGTTAACAGAGGGAGGTTGGGCACGGGTAGATTGATCTCCCTAACCCTCGTCGTGACATGGACTACCGGATACAATTTGAATTAACTCAGCTATGCTCATTTGGAGAATTTCAACTTGATTATTATTTGTCCGAGTAAAATTAGAAGCATTTGATAACGATGCCTGGTTCATAATCATTAGTTCAATGCTCTCGTCTACCAGGAACTTATGCACCGTGCAAGATCTAAAATGAGGCATATATGGAAGTGAAAGTCTACTGAAATGGGTTTAGACAGAGGAATATTCTGTCAAAAATTGCCCTTACCGAGTTTGACCAATTCGATGCAATCTCGCAATGGCTTGTCGCTCTTTACCCGGATTAAGAATCGGATCTACAAGTATCACGTGATTAGCTTCTGTTATGTTCAATCCATTGGCTCCTAGTGAGAGGGGAATTAAGAGGACCCAGAATTCCGTATTGGGCGATTTGAACTCCTGTAAGCCTTGATCGTGTGGTTGCAAGAAATGACCGCAGGAGATTCTATTATCCTTCAGAGCTTCTTCAATTGTTAGCAAGATAGAAGCCCAAGAACTAAAGACCACAACTTTTGCAGCAGGATCATCACGCTTAAGACGAAGCAAACACCTCAGAACTTCGTTAACTTTTGAGCTATGATCTCCTATGATATGGATCTCATCAGATAGGTCTTGATCTTGATTGTCTTCTTTAGCATTCACCCCACTCCAGTGAATTAGATAGTTGTTTTTGTTACTGAGAGTGCGATCGATCGGATTTCGACACACTGGACATACTGATGATGTTCTTCTAGTTTCATCAAAGCACGGTTCACATAAACAATGCCAGCAGCCCGCGATTATGATGAAAAATCGACGAAGAGTGGGGCTTAGATATTCCATACATACAGGACACATTATAGTACTCTCCTTGATGTGTTCTTTGTGCTGACTTCGAATGAACTGGAGTTTCTTTAAATGATCCTCGAGTGCTTTCCTATTTCCAGGTTCATTCCTACTACTTTGTTCCAATCTTGATTCCACTTCTACCAATGAAATGAAAGCAGTGTCATCAGGTCGACTTGATTGTAATCTTATTGCAAATTGCTGCGTATCATGATAAGCATCCCACCATTCTTGAGTATGCGACATGATTTTCCCAAGAAAGCTTAATTCATTGGAAAGGTGCATCAGTAGATTTGTAAGGGAATGTGCCATCGTTCTAACCCAAGGTTCAGCGTCCCTAAGTTTACCCACTTGACTTGCAACAACACTAAGTGCACAGTTTAGGGGATTTGTTTCCACAGTAGCGACTTGG